CAATTAAGGGTAAGAGAAGTTTGCCGAAAGATTTATGTTGGTTCAACTACAACTACTATGACCTTCATTTAGTCCCTAACCAACCTAATTGGGTATTTCTACTAATTTTTAATATCCAAAGATTTACAATCACAAATCATGTGCAAATAACTTCAAAAAATTAAAGACACCCACTTCTTGAATCCCAAGAAGCAACCATTGTAGAAATCTACTACAAGAAACCTTTCTAACTTGAGAAACCTACTCAAGAAACAAAGCAAGAATAAGGAAATATATCACCTGATATATAGAACATATTGAACAAGTAAAAAACTAAACCGCAAAATCCAAACACTTCATGTAGATTAATGATAATGATTCAATTTCTTTGATTCATGATAGAAGAAACTTCAATAGGTAAAACTTACTTTTTCAAACCCTTCTATCAAAAAATATCATCTCAAAAGCTCACTTAGATGTTTAGAAAATGTAAAATATGAGTTACTCAAAATTCTGAAAATGAGATTTGTTATATAGAGTTTTCTTTATGAGATAATAAATTATTTTAATGTATAATCAATTATTTTGAAGAATGATCAATTATTTTTATGAATAATTGATTATTTTGTGATTCACAAATATGGAAACTCATTAAGAACAATTTAATAGATTATTTTGAAGGATAATCAGTTATTTTCAAAATCTATTGTGAAATAATCGATTATTTTGCCAAATAATCTATTATTTCTGTAATTATTTTTAGATTACTTAAAAAAATAGGGTAAATAATTAATTAAATTTAAAGATAATTGATTATTTGAGTTAAAAAGTCAATACTTCAATTTCTCACCCTAGTTCTTATTCAAATCAATTTTAAACTTCAAAATTACTAATCTAAATCATAAATAATCAACTTACATGTAGATTATCTAACTAACTAATGATTTAACACTAAAGCAAAAAATTAAGCATGCACAAAGTAAAAACACAAAACACAAAACACAAATTACAAGTTGCACTCTTAACACCAAGAGGCTTATATTATACGTTACATTTGTGATCATCAAAACATAAGAGCCTTAACTTGATATTCATCAACACACTCTTCTCCCGTTTTCTCAACTAAACAAAATTTATAACTTTTTCCCTCCCTTCTCTTCCCCTTTCTTCCCTTATCTATTAAAATTTATTTCTTTTCCTCCTTCGAATCAAATGGACCTTAATAGATAATAATTAAACTTATAATTTTTATTTGGCTAAATTATACTTTTGGTTCTTTATCTTATTTTTGAAATTCATTTTGGTGATTTATCTATTAAAATATTTATGTTGGTTCTTTATATTTTATATTTGGATCAATTTGATCATTTTAAAACAATGGTCATTTTCAATTTTGCAGCATAATTTTTAACTAATTTTTTGGTTGACTCAAGACATAAACTTGAACGTTAGATTCATCCATATGAAAATCATGAAATACAATTGATAATTGTCATATATGTAAACAATTTTTATTCAATTTAAGTAAAATATATCTTATGCTTTTAAATCTTAATTTTTTCCACAAAATACTTAATTAAGAGTTAATTTTATTTTATGATATAATTGTTAATATTAGGTATTGTTAATATTTTCCTTTGTTGAAATGTGACACAGGTAGAATGTAATTTAGGAAGTTAGAAATTTAAAAGGAAAACCATCACTCCAATAAGATCTAATGGATGTTCTCTAAGCAAGCCAAATTTGCTTAAAGCACCTAACCGCTCGCTTTAAGTGAGCTAAGTCAAAGATTACATATGAGTGATCAAGTTAGCTCGCTTAAGTTAGTATATATAATGCTTGCTCTAAGCGAGAAAAATTTGCTCAAAGCAACTAAAGTATAGCTTGAAATGAACCAAGTTAGACAATGGAAAATGGTTATTGCTCGCTTAAGCGAGCAAGTCACTAGTGGAAAATAAGGATACTACGTCACCCATTTTACGTCGGACATATAAACACCCGACATAATAAAAACGCGGTGGCAAGGTTCGTAAATTTAGTTAAATTATTTACGTCGAACCTTTTAGGGTCCGACGTAAATTTTAACATCTACGTCGGCTATGTATAGTGTCCGACGTAGATGTTACAATTTACGTCGGACCAACTAGGACCGACGTAAATAATCCACTCCCATGTATTAAAAAGAACTTCACGCATGGAGAGATTTCAAAAATTTAAACCGAAACTCATCTCCCGCGCGTTGTGCAATGGAGGCCAACGAGAAATCCCTCCGCCTCCTCCTCAAATCGTGGTTCTTCGTTCATCTACATCTTGCAACAAGGTACCCATTTCCTCCTTTCTTTGTTTTCTTCACTTGACAATGTTTTCTTACTGAAAAAAATGGATTTTTTCATGTTTAAGGTTGCATTTGTCCTCGTGAGGGTCTTTAAGGTAACCCATCTTCTTCTATTTACTACTTTCTTTGTGCATTCTGAGTTTTTGAAGCTGAAGAAGGAAGTGGTGAAGTCCAGGTTGTAGAACGGGCCGTTCTGTTTGGAGAACGGGCCGTTCTGCTTGCAGTTGTTTTTCTTTTTCTTTTTTTTTTATAAATTTTTTACAACTTTTTACGTCGGACCTTGTAATGTCCGACGTAAATTTACGTCAGTTTTTGAACCCCGACGTAAATTTACGTCTCCCACTTCGACGTCAGAGCTTTTTCCGACGTAAAACCCCCTAAAATGGCCGACGTAAAATATACATTCTGTACTAGTGAGTTGCTTGTTCTAAGCTAGTGAAATCCGCTCAAAGCAATCATAGGAATGCCTTGAGCGAGTCAAGTCAAAGAGCACCTCTGGATGGTCAAACAAGCTCACTCAAAGCGAGTTACATGGTCGTTCTGAGTAAGAGTCCACAAATAAAAGCTTGTTATAGATGTTATAAAATAAGGTTCTTAAGAGGTCCCATACTCATACTTTTTACGAACATAATTTTAGAAAGATTAGAAAGAGTTCTTATAAGGTCATTTTTTTAATCACAGATCAATCAAAGGTCACTCTTTTATTGTGTAATCCTTAGCCATGAGCGGTTAAATATCTATTATTGGAGATTGAGCCAACTACTATAACTATGTAATTTCTTTTGTTTTTATTCAATAAAGTTTTCTTTTCAATTAATCATTTACCTTATGCTTAATACTTGTTGTGGCCTAGATCAAGCTATGCATGCTTTTAAAATTTTTAATTGAGGTTGAAAAATTCTTTTAAAATTACGATATAAGTAAAATGTTGTTAAGAATATAATAAATCTTATCAATCAACTTTTGGTCTCTGATCATAATGCAAGTTGTTTAACAAAAATTACTAAAGAATTGAGATTTTCCTTAAATAATTTAAAATTTCTCGCCTAAATATTTAAGATTTTAATATAATTGTGGACTGTTAAATTAACTATATAATTGAATGAAAATTTAATAGGAATTGCATGGAATAAATACATAAATTCAAATTATTTATAATTTACTAAATTCTTCTACTTGCATAAATTTTTTACATTTCATGGTAAAAAAAAGTTCTTAATTTTTATTAATTCATTTGTTTAGTACCAATATTTAGTTAAACAATTATAACTCAAGTCATCATGAATTCAACAATTTAAACTTTTTTATTCAATTTACTACCTATAATAATTGTATATCTCTCAAACACGTAACAAGAATTGACTTTTGAATCTAAAATTGTATCATTCTGATTTTCATAAATTAAAATAATAAAAGTTTTTAATTACTTAAAAAAATTAAATATTTAATGAACTAAAGTTTAAAAATTATATAATACTTCTTTATGTTAATTCAAGTTAAAGTTTATTTTTATATAAAAGTATATTATATATTTATTTAAATATGTATAATAAAATAGTATATAATTTTTAAATTTTAAAAACTTTATTTATTTTAATTTGATAATTTAATCATTAAAATTTAATTAGATAATAAATTATTAAATGTTATAAGCCTAACATATTTAGTATGAGTGTAAGCGTGTGTAATTTAGAGTTGCGAACAAATTTATATCTCAAACTTGAACCGGGCTTACTATATATTAGAAAGAGAAAAAGAAAAAAATTGCATACGTGGGAGACCGTAAATACCTTTGCCTTCAACTTGTTGGCTTCAACGTACTTCAAGGACCTCCTCAAAATCCTTTGCAAGCTTCTAGGAAAGGTCCAAAAATGCAGGCTAAACCCATAGACAAGACAGTGTTAGCATAGAAAAACAGACCCTAACCAGAGGAAGCTAGGCTCAACCCCACTGGAATAGAGATGGCAAGGGTCAACCCTGAGAAGTTAAAGAAGAATCGGAGGTACTTACTATTTTTGCGATTTTTAGTTAAATTAAAAGATAAAACTATAAAAGTAACTTCTACCTTTACTTTCAAATTAATGCCGTATTTTCAATTTCAATCTTAAAATAACTTTCAGGTATAAAGAGGAAAAAAAATAACTTGGATCTATCTCAGTTTGGAAAGAATTATACAAACATGTCTTAAATATCGTACCATCATATATATCAGAAGAAAAGAATGCAAAGAAGCTTCTAAATGACCAAATTAAAGTCTTACAAGAAGCAACAACTAGTTGATTTTTATTCCCAATAAGACCATCGTCTTGAAATCACAACATTAATTTTTCAAAAAAGCAACAAGCAAACATGTTTTACTGTCACCAAAATGCATATACACGAATTTCTCCCTTTCAAATAATAATAAATAAAAAAAAGGTTATAAATTCAAATTGAAACACATACTTGGGAGGCGACGTACAACATGATCGTTATTTATTCACAAAAGGATAGTAGAATATAAATACATGCGAATATCGTATAGAATTGATAATAAGAAGAAAATATATATGAAGAATTATACATGTAGAGGTGTGTAAGTAAGTAGGATTTATTTGGTTGAGATGGAAATTACACATCCCTATCTAGTGAAAAGGATAAGCACAAAAGTTGTACTGGGTAGATAGGGCATGGTTTTGATCCAAATTCAAGTTCTCCTCCACCTGACTAATTCTTTGTCCCTGAATTTGGAAGATGTGTTAGCCAAACTCAAGTTAAGATCAACATCATCACTACCATTATCATCACCATTATCATTACCATCCATTGGTCTCACAAATCTAACCCCATGATGAGCGTCGTCCCACGATAGCCAAGGTCCACGTGGACAAACCAACGGTCCCGATCCACCGTGCGGAAGCATGATGGCGTTAGGTGAAGGTGGTGTGAAGCGTTGGTTATGGCGATAGGTTCCGAAGGGTGAAAGTGCTGTTTTTTTGCGTTCTCTCTTGTGCGCGTTTTGGTGGCCACCCAGCGCTTGAGAATTGGCGAATTCGCGGAAGCAGAAATGGCATTTGAATCTCTTAATGTCGACTTCATAGTCATAGTCAGGTGGGGTTAGTGGGATACCGAACAGCTTTAACGTTCTGGAAGAAGAAGCTTTACCCTCAATGCTCTCATCTATAGGGTTTTCTGATGCACTCATCTTCCTTCACTCCTAATTATATCTCCTTCGCTCTGCATATATATA